AAAAGATCTTGAAAGAAGAAGCAGTTCTCCTAATGTTAGAAATGCCATGCAAATAACAATAAATGATATGGTGCCCTTTAGTCTTTTCTTTAATATTCTGAAAACAATTATTTAATTTAATTTTGTCAGAGTATTCAATATGAATGCTATCATCTTAACCTATTTTAAGTATAAAATGAATCCTTTTTGCTTATTTATTACATTGCTGTCTATATAATTTGCATAGCAGATCTCTATAACTTATTCTTCTTACTACACTGAAACTTTGTTAAGTATTCCCCAGTTTTTCCTCCCTTATGCCTCTGGTAAACACCATGCCAGTCTTTGATTTTATGAATCTGACTCTTTTAGATACAGTATTTAAGTGGAATCAACACATATCTTTCTGTATTTGGTTTATTTCATTTCACAAAATATCCACAAGATTCATGTATGTTTCCATATATTTCCTTCTTTTTTTAATAAGATACACAGTGCCCAAACAGTATTATAAAATGCTTATCTTCTTTATCATGAGAACATACTAATCAAAACCATGTCAATACCTTCCTTCATGCCTACCAAAATGACTACTACCAAAATATCAAAAAGCAAAAATACAGACAAGATTTGGCAAAAACGTGGGGAAAGCAGAACCCTGGTACACTGTTGTGGAAATGCAACATGGTGCAGGCAGTATGGAAAATAATGTGGAGATTCTTCCAAAGGTTTAAAAAGGAGCTGTGCCTGTAATCCCAGTGGTTCAGGAGGCTGAGACAGGAGGATCTCTAGTTCAAAGCCAACCTCAGCAACATGGAGCTGCTAAGCAACTCAGTGAGACCCTTTCTCTAAATAAAACACAAAATAGGGTTGGGGATGTGGTTCAGTGGTTGAGTGCCCTTGAGTTCAATCCCTGGTATCCCCTCGCCACCCTCCGCCCCCAAAAAGGAGCTGTCATGCCACCCAGCAATCTGACTCCTACTTCTGGATATATCTATCTATCTATCTATCTATCTATCTATCTATCTATCTATATATATATATATATAAAGAATTAAAATCAGTATCTCAAAGACACATTTATATCTGTATTCATTAGACAACTATTCACCATAACCAAAATGTAGAAACAAACTAAATCTCATATAAGACATAAATGATAAAGAAATGTAAATTGCAGCTGAAC